ATTTTTGTGCAATTCTGGGATGTTTTTTTAAGTAAAAATAAGTCGACGTGTACATGGTTACTGTGTATGTGCGATTTTGAAAAACGTGGCAAGGAGTTTGCGATTCTGCACTTTTTCCCAATTTTGCAGTTAATATTTGTCATGATTAAGCAGTTTTGTTCCATAAAATTTCTAACATAAGTGTAATTCGGCTAGCAGATTGTTGGAAAAAGTGTTGAGTAAATAAAAAGAAAAGAAACATGTCTTTACTTCGTGAAGACAAAATGGCAGCAGAAAAAAAAAAATAGGGGGTTGCTGTAGCAGAGTTGGTTGCCAAAAAATCGCCAAGTTACCATAATCCAAAGCTCAACCCATGTTTGAGTTTCTTCAGCTTCTCTGGCCTTTTCTCGTATTCTTCTATCTTGCTATCTTAAGAAAGAGAAAAAATTAAAGAGGGAAATGTGAAATCGAAATTTTATCTTAATGACAAAATATAAATTAATATTAAATAAAATGTGTTAAAAATTGTGCGTGTATTCTATGTTATTGTCTTAATACTTGGGTTTTCTCGACGCTCGATGTATCCTGCATAAAAAATTCAACAATGCTTCCGCAAACTTAATAAATTCTTCCATTTTCATTATTCTTCTGTTTCAAACCCCAGAATAGAAAGCAGATCTTTTCAGGTATATTAAGCAATAGTAACTGTACATAACAAGATCAGTTTTTTTATTTATTTTTTGTTATTATGGTGTTAAGAAATGTGTGATAAGTGAAGAGTTTTTTCAGAAACTCAGATCGGTGAATAGTAATTATATTTTTTTAGCATTAAACACGGAAGCATGCACTTAGGACTATTCACCAAATAACGATTTAACATGTTTTGCAAATAAATGTGTTAGTAATTTTTAATTCTTGCGGAAGTTAAAACTGCTACTTTATGCATACTTCGTTGGAATGTTCTAAACAGTCTTAATTCCCATTAAGTTTCAAAACAATATTCTTAATAAAAAAGTATATTTATAAGTCCTTTTTCAATTTTAATGAATTGTAGGAGTTAAAAAAATTATTTTTAGGAGTAGCAGAAAAGAAGAGGGGAAGGGTAAATCTGAGAAAAATTAAATACAAGAAGCTTATTTAATTTTCCATTCACAAACTGTATAAGGTGTAATTAGGTTATTTTATGGTAGAAGTGTATGAGGGCTGGCTACATAAAAGAGAGGGATGCCTTTGTGGAGGACTTTCTAGGTGGAACTGTCACGTCTTTACATTACTTATATGGATAAACAAACTTGTAGTCAGCTCGTTCACTTGATAATGAATCCAAGTTGAACTGTAATTCTGAGTATTTAAGACTGCTGAGTATGAGTATGTACTGTATGAGTATTATCTTAAATATTCATATTTGTCATCAGCATATTAGCTTCTAGCTTTCCAATATTTGTGTGCAATATTATTATTCAAAAATCAGTTGCATAACTAGAACTCTTGGGCCTCTATTCAAAAAAAAAATTTGGGGCCCCCTATTAAATTTACAGTATTCTCCCCCCCTCAATTCAATGATTCCAGGAGCCAAAATTTTGATGATTTTTATCAGATAATAATTAAAAAATCCAATATGGACACCACATGACTTCCTTGTATTAAATTATACACATTTTCTGCTGCACTTCATCTATCTTACTTCCTTGAATGATTCTAATTTAATGAACCGGTCTCTGAAGACAAGAAGAAAATGACATCAAAAATTTTAAATTTTGAACTAAATATCCCAGTCAGTTTGTAGAGACAGTAGGTTTATTTTTGGAAGCAGAAGAGATGAAAATTTAGCAACCGCCTTCGCCGGGAATTGAACTGCAGACCTCTGGAATATCGGCCCAGTGTGCTACCATTACACCACGAAGGCACGCTAGGGAAGTGGGAGAAATACCTTATATACTCCCCTTTTTAAAGGGCAACTAGGGTTTTAGGGGACCAAGTCGCCAAATCCTGGGTGCGGAGAATCATTATCTACAACCCTTTTAGTTTAGGCGCCACTTGCAGAGACATTAGGTTTATTTTTGGAAGCAGAAGAGATGAAAATTTAGCAACCGCCTTCGCCAGGAATCAAACCGTGGACCTCTGGAATACCGGCCCAACGTGCTACTGTTACACCACGAAGGCACGCTAAGGAAGTGGGAGAAATACCTTATAAGTTTTTGTTGCACAGAAGTCAAACTTCTTATAATTTATTTTTTTCATGAGACTTTCCCAAATATTAGACTGGAGGAAAATTTATATTTAGTTATATGTCGATTTTTTTTTTTTTTTTATTTTTTTATTTGACATTTGCAAAACATTTTTTGTCCTGGGAGACTTCTGAATGGAAATCTATGACTTCAACCAATGTCTGTGAAAATAAAGGTCGGATAAGGACTTTTAAGCCGGGTTAAAGGGCGGTATATTCTGCAAATTGCAATAAAAAAGTGAAGTGCACAACTGCAATAAAAAAGTGAACAGCACTCGCATATACAAAACTTCAACGCTCTACAGCTAACCGTCTTTGTGTTATGCCAGATATATATCTCTATTTCTCTGTCTATGTCTATCTGTCTCTGTACATATATATAGATATACATACATATGTACGTACGACTGTGCAAATGTCACGCAAAAAGATCCCTTTTGAATCTATTTTAAAACCATTTTATAAACCTTGTTTGAAAAGAAGAACCCTTTCTTCTGTCCGTACTTACAGATGTCGTGAAGAAAAAAACCGTCCACATGGATTTGTAAAAGGAGAAAATGGATATTTCCGTTGAAATATGATACACGACATTTTGGTATATATGTAACACTGAATTCAGCTTTTATGAGGGGACCTTGCCCTTGGTCATAGTATTTATAAAAGAATGTGACTTCTTTTAAGTTTAATCATGTGAATGTAGTTCAGCAGGACATTCAAGGGCCCTCTAAACCTTTGGGCACCTATGTGACAGCATTCTTTGCATACCTTATTTATGCCACTGCCAAATATGTGTAAAATTAATAAACTAAAAGGATCGTAGATATCTATTACAGGTATTTAAACAATTCCTGTATATTTCATCAGTCTCACAAGCTTCAAGAAAAAGGGATAAGCTTCAAGAAAAGGGATAAGCTTCAAGAAAAAGGGATAAGCTTCAAGAAAAAGGGACCAGTTTTGTGGTCTTTTTCAATTATTCAAGTACTTCCCTCACACACACACACTCAGTTTAATTTTTTTTTTTTTTTATTTGAATCATTGAATTTTATTATATGTGTATTTCAGATTTACCGGATGCCCCATATTGCAATTGCGAGCAGCTCAATGTTCCAAATTGCCCAAAATTTTTAATTAATTATTCGTTAAAAAAGTGATTGCACCCTCTGTCTGAAGAATTAGGGATATGCAAGTTCAAATGAGATGCTGCTCACTTTACAAATCTAGCACTGGGTGCAGCAGCATTGTTATCATATTAGGAAAATAATACCATGAGTGACCAAATATTTTTTTTTTTAATTCTATATCAAGTAATAGTGATAAGAATGTTTATTATGAGCCATTCTTTTGAGCACAACTGGAAACTATCTGGTGCTCGTCGTAATGTATCACTAGAAATATTGATGGTTTGTTGTACATAGAAATTTGTATAGAATGTGTATAGCAAACTTGCTTTAGATACCTCCATAAGAAACAATGCAGAATAATGGAACTAGAATCATTATTCTTGAAATAAATTCCAACACCAAAAACACAATGCCTAGCTTTACAGCTCTTATGTTGAACTAAAGAATAAAAAAACAGATTTTATATGAATAACAAAGTGTGATTTATGGTGATTATACATTTTACAAAATGAAAGACCTATAACTAAAGTCAGCTTTTTATTTTCAATAAGGTTATACCTGTCAAAATTTTGTTACATACAGCACTGACCTCAAAATAACAGTCCCCTGGCTGCAAGCATTCCTCGAAGCATATTAATGCCCTGCATGAAGACATTATAATTATGTACTTGTTGCAAATATTTCAAGATTTTAGTTATTTGTAGTCCATCTTATATTATCATTTCCGTTAAAAACAAACAGAAATAACACCAGAAAACTCTCTAAATGGAACTAATTAATTTACAATATAAATCTTACTGAAAGATCTGACGTTACAGGTTTTGTTAAATTTCATTGTATTTACCAAAAAGAAATAAACTCCGTTCCGAATTTTTGAGAAAAGAGTAATTACTTTGTTTGGAAATACATTTATATGTGAATAACTTTTTTTCATAATTGAAAATTAATATGAAAAGAAATTGATCAATCAATGAGCGTCATCAGTCTGTGATAACGATAATTTCTAATACTTTCTCTCCAAGGCTACAAACTTGATCAGAATCGATATGCCATCAAGTGTCAAGCTATAGTAAGAAATAAAGTTAATAATTGTTTACATACAAGCATACATAATTTTATGTAGAAGAAAATTTAGTAAATAAAAGAAAGAGACATTATTTATTCTCAGTTTTTGTCCACTTATCAAATTTTGTCTGAAAGTATTAAAAGTTTTCATAAATTCTTTATTTTTAGTTTCCATTAAAGTAAATTATATAATAATTAAGAATTATTTGAAAGAAATATCAGTCTAAGAGTTTAGTATGTAGCTGTCAGTATATTTGAATTACAAAGTGTAACCAACAAAAATGTCTTGCTTGGATTTCAGATAAATATATATATATATATATATATTTTACCTTTGTTGTATTATTATTGTTTGTGTACGTTCTGAAAAATATTTCGTAAGGAAAATTTAAAATGTATTTAAAATATTTTTACTTTTGCTAATGAAATTTTTAATTTTGTTAAAAAAAAAAAGAAAAGAAAAAAATTTAGCTCGGCAGTTGATTTCCTACTGTGCATTCGACCCGCATGTACTTTAAGACCACTGGCATACAGTATTTGGCTATCATAAAATTTTAGCAAACTGTTTATCATATTTAAATAGAAAGTAATGAGTAATTATTTTTCAGGTTAAATGGATACCAGTGGATCCACTTAAACCAGATTATGGGAAATATCCATTGTATAAGAAAGTCAAAACTTTTCACTTTGTTGTAGAAGAAGGCGACGCTTTATATTTACCTTCTTTGTGGTTTCATCATGTTAGGCAATCTCATTCATGTATTGCAGGTAATTTACAAACTATATTTGTTGTAGAATTATATCATGATATGAGTAGGATGCACAATTTTATTAAAACGTAGCCTTATAGCATTATATTTTTCTTCCAGTTAATTACTGGTATGACATGGACTTTGATGTAAAATATTGCTACTTTAAATTTCTCGAGAAAATTGGAGAATTATGTAATAAATCCAAAGACTATACTGACTAATTTTTGACATTATTGGTAAGTAAAAACTGTATTTTTAAACAATATTTCGTTTATTTATATTTATTTTTCTTCTTGTTGATATTTATTAAGGATCTGAAAAATATGTTTCCTTTTCCATATCTTAAAATAGTAATAATGATAAGTAAATGAAATGTTAAAAGGCCTTCCATTATATATATTGTTGCTTTTGAACAGCAGTAATTAAATTGCGAAACAAATATATTCAAAACCGTAAATGTAACTGTTACTCTCTTATACAGTTGAAAACATTAGAATTTAGAATTACTTTTTAAGTATTCTGTTAAGCAATTGTTGTTCTTGATTTAATTTTTCTTATACCGTAATTTCCGGAAGAAACGCCGCGGCGTTTACGTGTTTAAAACTTAGATTTTCAGCGGATGCGGCGTTTCTACCCATGCGGCGTTTAGGTGCACTAAAAATAAAATATTTCCTATGATGGTCGTTGTACATAGTTTGGATGGCCTTGTCATTGTGCATAGACTGGTGCTGTTCCCACACAAAAGACCACTCAGTTGCTTTTTGCGAACGTTATTTTGTTTACATTCTTTCCCTTGAGCGGACCTACATGCCTTATTCACCCTAAATGAGATCTCAGAACAATAACATTCTTCCTCCTTTCAAATCAACATTCTCATCAGTTTGAATAGTCTCTCTCCTCTGCCATTCGATGAATCTTCCAGGACCCATCCTCTCCCCACCCCTGCCTTTTCTGCAATTTTTTTCAAAGGCGGACACGACTCCACCTGCCTCGCAATAACGAACTCTGACGTATTTTCCCTTCAACATGAATGGATTTTTCTTGGCATTCTGTTAAATACAGATCCCATCAGTTTGAGTTTTTGCATCTATACGGCCCACGACGATGTCACGCGCAATTTAATCTATTGCGGCATTTACGCTGATGCTGCCTTTCTGTGTAATTTTAATTTTTTTCCCGCCATTTTTCTCAAGTGCGGCGTTTACGCTGATGCGGCCTTTCTTCCGGAAATTACGGTAGTTGTTTTATTTTCCATTTGGTTATAATTTTTTTGGAATACATATTATTTTACTTAGGAAAACCCTGAAGCCCAGTACCCAATACACAATTCATAAAAAGTATTTGTAATAGTGTAACAGAACATAAAATGAAAATATCAGGTTTTAATGAAAGTTTCCTGCCACTGAAAATATCGTCTGCACAAACAGTTCATGTTGGTGTGTTTAACCGCTTCCCTTACAAATTTTTTTTTGAAAAAAATTGCAAAAAATCATCACATTTTTTTTATTTTATTATTAAATACAACAAAACGAAACAAATCAATATATGTAGGTTTTAAGTTGAAATTTTAATTATTTGAAGGTGTAAAAGCATTTATTTTTAATATTAGTTTACTATCCCGAGTTATCTCGAGCAAACGAAAATAGTTAAATATTAATCTTTGTATGATTGTTTTTGAAAAAAGGGACAACACAGAGTGATACCTGACGTTCTACACTGGTATCTGGTCTCTTACTTACTGGCTTACCGCTGGAATCTCTTTCACGGGAGCAAAGAGTACACTGCCTCGTTGGATTTGATTCCCCCCCCTTCCCCACCTCTTCATAATCACTTTACTTACTGGCTTACCGCTGGAATCTCTTTCACGGGAGCAAAGAGTACACTGCCTCGTTGGATTTGATTCCCCCCCCCTTCCCCACCTCTTCATAATCACTATCTGAAAAATCATCGCTTTCGCTATCTTGCATCATCGACATTATTTTATTTTTTTTCCCAACACATGCATCCTTCTTTATACATTACTAATCCACAAGCCAACATATACTATACAATAGGGAAACACACGACCAGTCCCTCCAAAAGAACCGCGCAACCAACAAAATTTGGCAAACTGCCAATCAAAGCTGAATATTTCCTCCAGACCGAGTAAAACCGTGATAAGAGAAATCGTACTAACAAATTCTGCTTCGCCCGAGTTATCTCGGGATAATAATTAACTGCAATATATACAAACCCGAGATAACTTGGGATAATCAGGCAAGCGGTTAATCATATTTTGTCAAATGATTTTTGGCATCTGAAAGAAAGAGACTTGCTTTAGAACACCGTGTTGTAAAATCTGTAAAAAATAATGTTGTCATTAAGTACAAGGTGTCGGAAATGGAACTATCATGTTATCAGATGAGAAACATCATTTACTTCCAGTTGTGTTGCAAAAAGTCAGCTATAAAATGTCACCAAAGCATGTGTATAGCTTTACGTACTAGTGTTGTATCATATGACACTGTGAACGGTTGGTATTGAAACTTAAAAAACAAGGACTATGACATTCAAGAAGTAGAGCCCTCTGGCCGCCCTACTGATGGTGATGAGGCCTCCCTGCAATAACTTGTGGAAGACTGCTTATGCAACCACTTGAGAGCTTGCTAAAGAGTTAGATGTTAGTGCCGTATCAATTAGTCATACTATGCATCGCATAAACTTGACGTACAAGTTCAATCGCTAGGTGGCACTCACTAAAGCAAATAAGGACAGATGTGTTGGGGCCTGCACTAATCTGCTCTAATATCAGCGCAAGGAGAAAATTCTGGACCAGATCTTCACTTGTAATGAAAAGTGGATTTACTTCAACAACACAGGCCAAAAAGGGGGTTGGTATGTGGCCAGTGAGCCCGTCGGCAGCATTGCAAAGTGTAATTTGACTAACAATGAGATCATGCTTTGTATCTGGTGGAACTGACATGGTATTATCCACACAGCGTATCTGGAAAATGGTAAAACCGTCAAAAGTAAGGTGTAGAGCAAGATGCAGGTCTGTGTTGATGCTGCTGTCAAGGAAAACCGTCGAACTGAATTCCGACACAAAGAGGTAATGTTCCATCAAGATAATGTAAGATCACATGTGTCTGCATTCACTGGCTGGACTGTGTACAGACTTGAATGGAATCCTTTGCCACAGTCATCATATAGCCCGACATTGCTCCTTTGAACATCTTTTTTCACACCTGCAGCTACATCTTCCTGGTGCTAACTTCTATTCTGCAGAGTATATCTGAAATGAGATTGATGTATTTTTGGATTACTGGCCGCTAACTTTCTGGGCCAAAGACTTTGAAAAACTACCAAAATGTTGGCAGAAAATCTTAGATTTGGGTGGTGGTTGCTACCCATACCTAAAGGTACTGCATTCATGATTTTTTTCTAAGTTTATTAAGAACGTTTTTGGAAGAAAACTTTAATTACATCCAGGTAAATAAATTGGTAACAAGTGTAAGTATAATAATAAGGAAACACTTTGGTTTTAATAAATCAAACTATACTCTCTTATTCAGCTGGTCAAAGAATGAGGATAAAATGTCTGTCTAGAAAATGAGAAGATACAAATAACAAAAATGGTTTTTGAAAAGTCAGTTGCTTATCTCATGTCACAAACTGTCTTAGTGTTCAAAATTAAATTTCCACGTTTGGTCAGTTATCTCCAGGCAGACGGATTTTAATGAAGCTTCTTATAGACATAACGAAGTCTAACAAAAAAATTCTAGGAGGTTCATTCTAATAGTCATGCGGTTAACCTGACTTCATAATGAAAATGAAGCACATTAAGTCTCTTAGGCAGTTGGTCCAGCTACTGCAACAACATTAGTATCAAGTTCTGGGAAGTGAAGGCACATATTGCCCTCCCAAGAGTATGCCAGGCATGTTCTATAAAGTTTAAGTCTCGAGAACTGGCTGGCCAGTTCAACCAGTTAATATTACCACTTTTCAATTTTTATGTAAACGAACACTAGAGGCCAAAAAAAGGAGCTGAGAACTCTGTCTTTGGAAATACTAACATGGAACTCTTAAGGTCTCTTCCCTATACCTTGCAAAATTCACCCAGACTTTGTCAAAGACAAGATTTGTGTATTCATCCACCATAATGCACACCCACACCATCAAACCTCTGCTTCCTTTCTGAGATGTTGGAAGACAGCAAATCCCTGGTTCTCTGCAGTCAAAATACATCAAGAATCAATTGTTTGGTTGAAACCAGGACATATCTCTAAAGAGAATGGTCTCCCGCTGATCCATGGTCTAAAGCCAATATTCTCTGCAGCATGCTACATGGGCTGTTATCTGTATTTTGTATTGCAGAAAGAGTTTCATTGTACATAGTGTAAAACTAGATTTATTTACAAAGTTGATCTAAATTTTCACTGTGGTAAGCTGATAAATGTATTCAAATATATAAATGTATTTGTAAACAAATTCATATCGGCTCAACAGTGCAAGAAACAACACTATTAACACTTCATAGTATTTATTTCTTCTGTGAACAGATATTTCAAAGTAATGTAACAATGGGAAAAAAAGTATAACATTTATATATCTTCACTTAATCAGACATTAAGATTGGACATAGAATTCTAAATATATAAATGCCTTCATCTTAATAATAAAATCTCTTCTATATAAGGTCTTAAGAAGCTGGAAGTTATACATCATTGCTCAAATTATAAGTATTTTTGACACTTCAGGGATAAAAGCTTATGCGTTTTTCATAATAGGTGTAACTGGATGGTTTAATAGCATAGTTTACACAAATGGGAGGGTGGCAAACAGAATTCTAATTCAGAAGTCTAACAACAAAAATCAGCGTTATATTTGCAAATTTTCACAGGATATTTGCAAATCTTCAGCTGTCAAAGTGCAAGCAAACGAGATAAGATATAAGGAAAAGATGAGATCAGAATGGAAATATAAGCAGTTAAAAAATTCTCATCTCAACACAACAAAAAGCGTGCTTGCTCTTGTTTTAGGAAATTATAAGAATTCTGTTGTTATTCTTTTCTTTCCGTCAATTAGCTATAAAATTGCACGTATTTTACAGAAATTTAACTTTTGGGTTGTTTATTCTCCTATCAATAAAATTCTGAGTTTCATACTTACGGACCCCATTCCAGATATGAATTCCTGGCTTATATACAGGATTCCATTCCAATGTGGCTTAATTTACATTGGTCAAACTAGGAGAGCCTTAAAATTTTGTGTTAAAGAACATGAGGCATATGTTAGGGAAAAGAAAACACAAAAGTCCTCTGTTGCCCAGCACTGTTGGTCCGAAAATCCCACTTTCTATTTTTCTGCAAGCAAAACTATTAAAAAAATATTTTCCATTGGTGAATCAGATTTGAGGTGTTTCATGTTCAAAAAAATCTTTCTGTTCTACTTAATGACTCTAATTCCAATTCATCTTTACTTTCAGCCTTTAAAGAAATTATGTTTTAGTTTTCTTGTTTCATCAATAGATGGCGCCAGTAGCTTAACTTCTGTCCAGTCATCTTATCTTTTCACTATATCTTATCTTGTTCACTTGTGCTTTGGCAACTGAGCATGATGGTTTGGTAAAGCCATCGAAACTAGTCCTGTAAAAATTTGCATATATAACGCTGATTTTTGTTGTTTGACTTCTAAATTAATATTTGTTTGGTATGTTATTTTAACCTAAATTAAACAGAACTCTCTCAAACAGCCTTCTGGAAACAGTAACCTTTAAAATTTGGCTTCCTGTGACTGTATGAAAGTCCCAAGAGAGCTGAAAATTTGTTGTACTTGGATTACATCTCAATAAAATGGACGAATTCCGAACTTTACTGGCCACCATGGCTATTGGACAACCTTTCTGGGACTTGGGAATTCGGTACCCTTAAACTGTTTTCTTAAGAGTCACATGACACTAGTCGTTCATGTCTAGCAATCTGTATATGAGACTTCTAAACTGCCGACGGTTCTCCACCTCATTCTGTATCATCTGAATGTTAATGGTTACACATTTTAGCAGTCCGCTTTTGAACTTCACTAAACGTTGCAAAAATTTACTGGAAAAGTCGCCAAGAAGCATGGAAAATGCCACTTGCATGCACCCCTTCCCTTAAATACTGTGTCCACAAGCATGTATATACTTACATATTCCGTACTATAAATTTGCTTTTTGTTGTTTGGAAGCATAATTTGTACCTTTAATTCAATATTTTCCTAGAAAATTGGCGAAATATGCAATTTATTCCAATTATAAATGCCAGTGCAGTTCCTAATGTATTATGTATTATTTTATAACTTAATTGTGAGGCGCTTATCCACGCTTTAGGGCAATTGCTATGGAGCATCATCAGAATTGGACGTACAGTACGCCTTCCAGTAACTTCCCAAACAGTGGTAGACATGGCAAGCAATTATATTGAGGGGATGTAAGTGTTCGTACTATGCTAATAAAATCTTTTCAGAACTATTGACGCATTGTCACTTCTTTTTATCTAACCCATGTAAATGAAATTGACTAAAATTATGCACCTTCTAACAGTAATACATAACTTTTTAGATAAATACAAAAGAACCCCTTTATTTAAATTTAAAACGTATTAAAAGAACTTTAAAATATCCAGACCTTTTTACTTCTTTGTACAAAGTGAAGGAAGTATTGTACTCATAAAAAAATTCAAGTATCATATTTCAACAGAAATGTCCATTTTGACTGTTCCTGAATCCATTTGGATTCCCCCCCCATAAAGCTTTCTTTTTCCAAAACAGATAGTAAAATGGATTTAGAGTGGATTCAAAAGGTTTTTTTTTTTTTTTTTTTTCCCATAACATCTACATATACATACTTACATATGTATGTCTCATACCTCAAAAACAATTAGCTGCAGAACATTGAAATTTTGTATGTAGGACTGCTATAACATTTAGTTGTGCACCTTCCCTTTTTTATTGCTGTCGTCAGAACCAAACTTGTATATATGTGAGGGTTTTTGTTTGGGGCAAGTTACTATTCATCTTAAAATGGAACAAATTTAATTATAAATATAATAATTACAAGTTAAAAATAAGCATTAATACATATTTAACATCTTAACACAACATCATTCATCTCACTTCTTAGATATTTTTCTTAAAACTAAACTGACGATAGTTCCATTATTTACACTCAGGCAGTAAACAGTTAAATTAGATAGCGAGGGAGAAAAAGTGTTAGATGAGAGTTCCTTATGTAAAAACCCCACATATGGCTTACTTGCAGTGGGTCGACATCGATGACATTATAATCTTGAGTCAGATTAAACTTCATGAAACTACATCATCAGCTTTTCTGAGAATGAAGCCATCATCACCGCTGAATCAAAACCTGAAAAGAAATAATGGAAGATAGAGAGAGCGTAAGGACAATTTTAAAAAAAAGCCAAATCATACCTTCATTGCTGCAATTCGAGCATTACAGCAATGAAGGGCATTACTCTTATATTTCATACTAAAATACGTCTTCAGTTTTTCACAACATTATTAGAAAAGCTAATTTCATCTTAAAAGTTCAATTATTAGTTTAATCAGTCTGAGTTTATATATCACAATCAGTATTATTGATCTATGCATCTTCTTCTCCTTGGGTCTATTGTTTTATGTATTCAGTGTTGTAGTTGTTGTTGTATTAGTAGTGGTGTAGTTGTTTTTGTGGGTCCTTCATGATCCCCTTCTTTTATAATATCATGAGTATCGTTATTCTTTATTTTTATAATCTTATATGGGCTTAAGTGTTCTGATTTTAACTTAAGGTTTGGTCAATTGAGTTCTTTTGATTGTTACTAAATCATTAATTTCATAACGTTTTGGAGAATGTCTTCAAAGATTACATGTTTTATTATTTTCTTCCTGTACCTTAAATATTTGTTTATTTGCATCTTTTCGAAGCTCTCGGTAAGTTTCAAAATTATTTTTAACTTCTGTGTCAAATAATTCTTTAAGTTTAATATTTTCTTCTCCAGAAGAATAATCACTATCTGCTTGAAAAGTGGAAGCGCTGTGTTTGCCAACTCAAAATACAAAATCAAGAGCTTATTTTGCTTAAGGAAATCTTGTTTCTGGGACTGAAGGGTCTTCAAGGGAAAATTTGCGCCTATTATATGACCTTGTCTCAGGCTTAGTTGATTCGTAAACTGAAGCTGTAGTCATGCTAGATCAGTGAGTCTCAACATTTTTTTTGTCGCAGCACACTTTTAATGATTTCAAATTTTGACGGCACACAAAGAAAATTATAAGTTTGAAAGTTGTTTACTTACCTATAATATATTGTGTAAAACAGTTTATGATAATAATTTTGAATTTAAAATAAAATAATATGTACTACAAATATAGAAGTACGTTTATTATTAAGGGATTAATTACAAGTTAATAATAAGAATACTTTTAATTAGAAATTTGGAAATGAGAACTTAATGTTTTTGATAATTTCATTTATAGTTGGTCATAAAAATGACAATGCTACTCTCATCTCCTCTACATTTAACAGTCTCGATCTTTTTTCGTTTTTATATTGGTTTATATTGAAAATCCGAATTCACACAATAAGATGTAGAAAACTGTAATAAAGGTTTTTTGGCCATCATCGGATAATCGCATCTCATGTTAATCCAAAATGAATTAATTGATTCTTCCAAATATTTTAAAACTAAATCTCGATTATTAGAAAGCGAAATTAGTTTTTCCTCTTTGTTAATTCAAATGGAGAAGATCTTCTTCGGCACAAATTCGGCTTGGATACCACAATTGGCACTCTTATTAATGTCTTAAAAAGCGAATTTTGCCAATTCCCATTCGTACCGTATACTACAATTAAACCTATTACTATTTTTACTGTATACATTTCTAAAATTTGGCGGCACACAAAAGTGCCACGGCACAGTGGTTGAGAATCACTGTGCTAGATGATGTTGGAGCAGAAACAGTGCCCCATATGTATCAGTAATATTCCAATTGTTAGCAGTAAGAATTTCTCACAACTGACTAAATTTTTCATCAGTAATACACATTTTTCTTTGCAATTCTGCTTGTTTTGCATCGAATCTCTTATCCATCATTCTTCTCATAGGATCATTTTCTAAAGCCAGCATTTCTTACATTTTCAGTTTAACAGGTTTAACTTCGTTTTCTTGCTCAGAGAGGATTTTATCTTTGGTGTTCATCTGAAATTTTGTAGCTTCTACTTCACACTTGGCATCTGATAGTTGTTTATGTAACATTTCTACAATATGTTCTGATACAGAAAGTTTTCTTTTCAAAGATCTAACTTGTTCATGAGCATCCAAATCCATCTGTAAAATAGTTTTCCTGTTTTAGCAGAATGCTTTTTTATCTGTAATTAATAAACATCTGGGTCTCAAAGAAATAGGTTTGTCATCTTTTAAAATAAAATAGTATGCATTTTCAATATTTGTAATTTTCATTTTATTAGGAATATAACTTTTTTACTTTCGACCTATGTGCTTCATTAATATAGGAACAATTATCTAACTCATTTTTTACCTACGTTTATATACATTAAATTTGATTCATTTTCATCTTCTACTACATTCATAAATATGTCGTATTTATTTATAGTAATTTCCATTTGCGAAACAACTCATTCCTGATAACAGCATTTTCTTGCATTTTTTTCTTAAGGTACATCATAAATATGTGATTTAATTTCACAATCGTCAATTGTGGAACCTTCAAAATAAACAATAGGTTTTTTTATTATTATTACAAAAGCCTATTAGAATCAAATCGGAAAAATTAATACTTTGTAATATCCTAGCTAAAACAGAGTTCCTTAAATGCTAGAATACTGAAGAACTATGTAGCGACCTTTTGATGAGTTCTTGTGCGTAAGTAATAGCTCTGGAGAAAGGTTAAATTACCTTTTTATTCTAACTCAAAATATATAACAGATGGCCTCTCTTGGATGTACAAGAAGCGTGCACATGGGCTTTAACTCAAAATAGAAAATGCAAAACTAAACTAATGCTAGATAAATTTAATCAGCCAAAGGTGCACAGGATCAAACTTGCAGAGTTGGCCTGTAATTAAGGATAACCGGCGTATATTAGCAGGCATAAATTAAGTATGGCCGAAGAATAGCAATCTTTAACTAATAGCAAAACTTCCTGAGAGAGAGCTAGTCATACTTAATACTAATAGAAGCCAATACTTCAACATATTGCAAAAATAATCATTTTGTTCACAAAAACAAACCCGGAATGCATCGGTGGTTCTTTTCCTTCTACATCGTAAACTGAACTAACATTCATTTATAAAAAGAGAAGCGCCTTCTCTCGGTGATACAAAAATCGTTTGTTGGATTTTTATATACTCCCCACCTGATAAATTTGCAAAAGTTATCACTATTTCAGCATACAAAAAAATTAGAATGTAAGAAAGAAACTTACATATCAATATCAAGTACATTTACCTGATATAAACATAAAGAGCAAGGAAATTCTATAAAATTAACAAAATTAACAGCATACAATTCAAATGTTACTCATTAAGTAAATATTAATTTGATTTACATACAGTAAATTATTAGTAATAACTAATTAACTAAAATTAATGTTAGTGAACATAAAATATAAGAATAAAAAATGAAAGTTACAAATTTTTTTTATTTTCAGTCTGATAGTCAAGGGGGTATATCAATTGCACAGGTCTCTTTTTTAGTCCCCCTTTTTTTACTTTTTACATCACGTCCTTTAAAAACTTGAATTATTTGACCTGAATCCCAGAGGATCTTAGATTTAGTTGTTCCTCCAAGTGAAACTATATCACTAATTTTAAGATTTTTCTACACCTGGAAAAGTCAGGGAATTTCATTCTGCTGTTTGAGTGGCAACCCTGCTAAATGAAATTTTTGTCATTCAAGTTATTATACTTCCTATTCTATTACTTAAACAGAATCACTATTACTAGTACCAGTTTTATATAAAAAAGTATATGTTTTAAATTTTGTGTATGAAATTTGATACGATCACTTCCCTTTTTCATGGCTCTGGGAAAAGTTTTGACTGGGAAAAAGGTTGAAGAAATTATGAATAAAAGCTGGATTGTTGTCAGTGAGTTATCCGAAGATGACGATGATAGTGATATGGATGTAAATTATGCTCCAAATTCAAAACTGGATTATCAGATTCAGGTGATAATTCAAAACATGGTGACAAAGATGCCAGAGAATGTGACTAAACGACTATAAAATTATTGATTATGAGAGAAGAAATATTCAAGGTAATACTGATGTGCCTTTACCAAGCAATAAGAAAAGCATTACAAAGTCAAAAATAACTTGCTGAATGATGATCAATTTTTGTTTCTGAGAAACAATTAGCTACTTGTTGAAGTAATGGAATTTTCCCCAGCTAAGTTTTCAAGTGTTGTCATAGATGCTATGCTCAGTCAATACATAGGTTAATTTAATCCCAGAATTTATTAAGCATATTTTAATTTACAATAATAAAAGAAGACGTTAGGGTTAGAACATCAAAGCGAAATCTTTTCTATTTGCCACTTTTTCTTGTTGCCAATCTAGAGAAACTAAACTTCGCAACAACAAAGATAATATTATACATAAAGGGAACTGCTACATCTGTACTTCCCCAGTAACAACATAGTTATGATACACTCTGCAACTTTCAATAACAATAAAAATTTCTGTGTTCATGTAATGTGTATAAATGTGAAATGGAAACATGAGGGTCTTTCAACTCAATCCGGGACTTTTTTTTTTTTCTTCCCAGGTTTAAATGGATGCCTAAGGTTTTGTATGCAGTAGAAAACTGGCACCTGTGTCCTGTTACTAGTAGACGGTGCTTAATTTCCCACGCTTCTGGATAGACCGTTATTCAAGATGGTGGACAACAGTGTGAACATCTATGTGGAACAGCGTGTTGTGATGAAGTTTCTAGTAAACAGCATAAAACCTGCTGTACGGTGATGAGACAATCAGTCGCACTAAGACATTTTGAGTGGTGTAAGGGTTTCAAAAGATGGTCGTATCTCTACTACTGACAATCTCGGTCGTGGTGAATCACAGCCCATGGTAGTCATTCCTGATAATAGCGCATGGAGCAGCTGATCCTGGGTAATCATTGTATAACCTATCGTGAAATCGCTAGGGTGTGTAATCTGTTGTTAGGAACAGTGAACACAATAATTCATGACCATTTGTTGTTCCGAAAAAGAGTGATTGGTGGGTTCCAAAGCGGTAGTTTGCTTTTGACAGACACAGAAGAGTTGAAGTCTGTAGAGAACTGAAAAAACGCTATGAAAGGGAAGGCCAGGAATTTCTGAATCGCATCATGAACATGTGACGAAACATGAGTTCACCATTTCACACCAGAATCCAAAACAGCATCGATGCAGTGGAAGCATACAGACTCACCACCTCCCCAAAAATTTCAAACAGTTGTGTCTGCTGGTAAAGTGATGGCAAGTGTATTCTGGGATAAACAGGGAATTATTCACGTTGAGATTTTACCCCATGGTGTCACTATCAACAGTGAGTATTACTGCAGTGTTTTGTGTGATGTGCACAAGAGTTTACGGAAAAAACGCCCGGGTTTGATCCCAAAGTTTGTTCTCTTTTTTCAAGACAATGCACGACTGCATACTGCTCAACGCACATTCCAAACAATCCAGGAACTCAGCTGGGAGGGGTAGGTAGCTGCTGCACAATGATTTGTTTTTCTAGAACTTTCTCTCATATGAAAATGTGCTTGATATCGATGTGTTTTGTCCATCGATGAAGTTCATGATTTTCTCAAAGTCTTAATGCAGCGGTGTTACCTACTTGAATTACTGGAACTTCGTGTAACTTGGTAATGTCACTAAATAATCGCTTTAACCAAACTACTTCTCTAGAACGTTCACTAGCTGCAATTATCTCTGCTTCAGGTGTTGAAGTTGCAACAACTGACTGTCTTTGGCTAATCCATCATATAGCTCCGCCACCATATAATATCACCACTCCACTTGTAGATTTCCATGTTATTTGACATCCTCCGAAATTTGCGTCACTAATAGCACCCCAATACTCCTGGTTTGTATTTATTTTTGTTTGTAATACCTTTAATAAGAAAACCTGCTGTGCATATAAATACACGTTTCACATTTATCCAATTATTGCATTGAGTGTACCTGAATATTATTTTATTCAGTCGTTCTCTCCTTTAAATTAAATCTGACTCCATTCTATAACACTTGAGAAGAAATATCTTAAATAAAATATTGCATTTTCTTGCTTGGGAAAGCCAAACTTTATTTGCTTACACACTTAAGGAAATCAAAACATTATTCTAATCTTTCTTACTGTTGCCAAACTACAAAAACAAAACTCCATTTAAAATAAAAGGAAAACAACGGCTTTTGAATATCGTTAACAAATATAAATCATGGAGCTCATAACTTACTTCCATCTTTTGATTTTCTTAAAATGGTCTATGAAAATCAAAACATTAAAAAAAAAAAAAAAAAAAAACTTCTCTACTCAATAGACTTGCATAGTACTCAATATATTCACAATATATATTAAATAATAATACAGAACATATGCATAAAAAATCACTTATAACGAGAAGGTTTGACAATTTTTCTGCTATATCTAGTTTTTAGTTCAAAATCAATTTTAAAGTCAGTTTTCCTTTTAAGATTTTCAGATTTATGAGGAATGTTCCCTTTATCAGAAACAGTTGGCACCAAATTTCGTTCAAGTTCTTTACCTATAAGTATAGTGTTCGGATTAGTAATCTCTAAAGAGTATAACTGTTGAGCAGGGTGTATCAGTTCTCCTACTTCTGTTTTTACTTTCACTACTCTCACGTGATTGTCCTTTCCAGGAAAGACCTCTGTGACTATACCCAAAGGCCAGAATATTCGCTTTTTATTATCACATCCAAACCAGACCAACCTCACCGACACTTATCTGTTTTAGACTGTTCTTATTGAAATTCTGCTGAATTAAAAGACTTCTTCCCTAAATCTTCTTAACTCTTTCTGTAGCTTTTGTTGATACCGGTATCTTTTTGTCAAATTAATACTATCAAAGTTATCTAAGTCTAGTACTCCTATTGTCTTTATTATCTTGAAGAAACATGGAAGGTGTTAACAGGATTAAATCTTGTATATCTTCGGATAAGTACGTTAAGGGTCGACAATTGATGACCACTTCCATATCACATAAAACTGTACATTTTAGGGAGGCTTTTCCTAGTACTCTTCTTAAACGTTTCTTAGTCATCTTAACTATGCATTCCCACCAGGCAGCTGTAGGAGGGTTGAAAATCCATTGGATCCTCATTATGGAACTTTCTTTAGATATCTTATCCCAGTCAAAAGACTCCAATGAGGTACTAGCTCCTTTAAAGTTTGTCCCATTATCGCTGTATGGTTTTTTTTTTTATCTGCCTCGTCTCGCTATAAATCTTCGTAATCCTAACAAAAAAGCATTGATGGAAAAGCTTTGAATCAACTCCAGGCTGACTTTTCGTAAGCCTTGTAAGAAAAAATATGTAAAACCAAAGCAACAAAGTTCTAAATCATCTTCAAACTATCAAGGAAATAAGTGCAATAATCCAAAACCATGTAGAAAATGTGGAACTTTTCATAAGTTATATAATTGTTCTGCTTATAATAAGATTTGCTTGTACTGTAAAAAGAAAAATCACTTTTCTAAAATGTGCACTTATAAAAATGTTAATGTTGTGCAGAATAATTTAGAGCATGAGTTGCATAATAATGGTAATAAATATATTTTAAGGTCAATAGAAGATACAAATCCATTTCCTAAAAATAGAACAGAATGGTTTGAAAGACTAAAAGTAAACATATCTAAATATTTATTTGTTAAGTTGGATACTGGTGCTCAGTCTAATGTGTTACCGTTGCCTAAATTTAAACAATTAAATTTAAGAGATGAATAAATGTTTTGACTAAATGAAAAGTCACTTTAAATAATTACAATGGTACTACAATTGATGTAGTTGAAAAATGCAAATTATTATGTGAAACATCGAAAGAAGACAAGAATGAAGTAGAATTTCAAGTTGTAGCATGTGATAAAACTGTTCCAGCTATTTTAAGTTTACCTATATTGCAAAAATTAAACCTAGCATAAAGGATTTGTACAGTAAATCCTGATATTGCCAGAATCTTTAAAAGGATATCAAAATTTATTTAAAGGAACTGGGAATTTGACTGCATATACCCATCACATTAAATTAAAACCAGGAGCTGTTCGTAAAATAGAGGCCTGTAGGAAAATTTAACTTAGCTCATTAAATCCATTAAAAAAGGAATTGGCAAGAATCGAAAAGATGGTATTATAAAGTTAATCAGCCTACAGAATTTTTGACTTCATTAGTCGTAGTTAGAAAAAAGGATGGTAATTTAAGAATGTGTTTAGATCCTTAGCACCTTAACCAAAATATACTGAGAGAACATTATCACATACCAACCTTTGAAGAAATTTCATCTCAAATGACAAATGCAAAGGTCTTTAGTATTTTAGATGCAAACAAAGCATTTTGGCAAATTAAACTGTCAGATTCAAGTTGTGAATTTACTACATTTAATACTCCGTTTGGTAGATATTGTTTTTAAGGTTGCCATATGGACTGAGTTCATCATCAGAAGTTTTTCTGAAATGTTTAGTGATTTAGAAGGAGTTCAAATATGTATAGGTGACTTATTAGTTTGGGGAAAAGATAAAAAAGAACATGATTTAAGATTAAAGAAATTGTTGGACGGAGCCAGAGAAAAGAATATTAAGTTTAATTTAAATAAATGTAAATTTGGGCTGAATGAAGTGAAATATATGGGACATATGTTTTCTAAAGATGGTTTAAAACCAGATGAAGACAAAATTAAGGCTATTGTAGATATAAAACCACCAAAAAATGTGAAAGAATTAGAAACTTTCCTAGGAATGATTACATATGTTTCTAGATTTATACTTAATGTATCAGAATTGACATCATGTTTAAGAGATTTGTTGAAAAAACAAGTTATCTGGAACTGGAATGCAACACATGAGAAAGCATTTAGAAGACTAAAAGATGTCTTAGTAACTAAACCAGTTTTACAGTATTGTTACGGATTTGGTATTTGAATAGCTAATGTTAGTTGAATTATAAATAAAATTGTTTTATCCTTGTGCAGTGGAGCACGTGACGAATATTAAAAGAAAGCTAAGCCGGAAAATTAAAAATACAAGAGCACGTGTATTTAACATTTAATAAATAAATATCTCTTTCGAGAAAGTTCCAGCGCACGATTTAAAATCTTATGAAAGGAGGAAAACCTCTCAATTCGTTGTTGTTAGTTTGTTGTTGTTTTAAGAGTTTGTTTAGAAAACTGCTTTTGTTGACTGTAGCGAATTCGCGGATTAGCTTTCTCTAGCTGTTTTGAATTAAATTCTGTTGAGCGCTTGTGTAGTTAAAAGATAACTACTGTGATATATTGTAATACTGAACGAATATCTGAGAAAATTGAAGTATCGTGTTTTATTTATTTGTGATAATAATAAATCTTATTTATTTTTCATCGGACTTGTGCATTCAATTCCAAACGAACCCGTACACACGCAACAGTATTATGATATAATCATGCCAGTACTTTTATCTGTAGATACATGTCAAGGAGCAGTCTTACTGCACAATAATTTAACAGTAGTATATGCATCTAAGGCATTAATAGATACACAGAAGAATTATGCTCAAATTGAGAAGGAAGTTTTAGTTATTGTATTTTCATATGAGCAGTTTCACTAGTATATATTTGGAAAATATATTACAGTGGAAAGTGACCATAAACCATTCGAATCAGTTTTCAAAAAGCCATTAAATAAATGCCTGTAAGATTACAAAGAATAAAAGAATTTATTTAAAGAATTACAAAGAACAAAGATTACAGAGCCCTATCAGTTTGAGATAAAATATAAAGCAGGAAAAAGAACTTTTTATAGCAGATGCATTATCAAGATCATTCACTGATAAAGGAACTGATTTCTTTTAAGGAGACATAGAAGCTCATGTTGGATTGGTTGTAGAATATATACATATACCAATGTGTAAAGGCAAAATGGAAGTTTTTCAACTGGAAACAAAAAAAGATGAACTACAAGTTTTAAGAAAATTAATTAAAACTGGATGGCCAAATGAAAAATGTATGGTTCCAGAACTGGCAAAACCATATTTTAACTTCAGAGAACTATCAGAAGTAAATGGATTAATATTTAAAAATTCTTGTGTTGTTGTACAAAGAAGTTTACGAAAAGATATGTTAAGTAGAATTCATTATGGTCATTTAGGAGTAGTAAAATGAAAAATCAAAGCAAGAGAAGTATTATATTAGCCAGTAATGTCAAAAGAAATTGAAGATTTGGTACTGAATTGTCAAACATGCTTAAGTTTACAAAAAGCTAATACTAAAGAACCAATGATATCGAAAGAAATACCAGTTGGTTCATGTGAAGTATTGGGAACAAATCTCTTTTACTTTCAAGGAAGGGATTATCTAATAGTTATAGATTATTTTAGCAAATATGTTGAAATTGGACATTTGGAAGATTTGTGAAGTTTAGCAGTGATAAAGCAATTGAAATCAATTTTTGCAAAACATTGTATTCCAAAAATAGTATATTCGGATAATGGTCCACAATATAGTTGCAAGAAATTTAAAGAATTTGCAAGAAGATGGAATTTTGAAACCAGACCTTAAAAGTCCTTATTACCCACAACCTAATGGAATGGAATGGTTGAAAGACATATTCAAACTGTCAAGCGAATGCTAGAAAAAGCTGTTATTGACAACAAGGATCCATATTTAGCATTTCATCCAAGCTTAACGATATGAAGACCATTAACAACATTTACTCAAAGGAGATCACATATACATAAACGAGAAAAAGAAAAAAACTAAATGAAAGAGGGAAAATTATAGAAGCAGAAAGACCATGTTCATACAGGATTATAAGAACAGATGGAAGAATTGTACAAAGGAACAGAACAGATATTCCTAAAGGAAATAACCAGAAAGAGTCTG